ATCTAGAAGCTCAAAAACAAATTTTTATATGAGAGAAAAGAAAATCTTTTCTTGGTAAAATCGTGGTCCGCTTTGGAAGAGGAACAATAAGCAAGTCTGACTTCATGCTAAGCTGAGGCTTTTTATGCTAGAATCTCTGCAGATAATGTGAACTGTAATATTCACGAAAAGAAATTAAACATTCTCTGTGAGATGTGGAACTTAGCGCAATAAACTGCATGCAAATGAACTGAGGAATTTAACGAGATTGCTCTTTTGCGAAAACAGTTTTATGGTTTTGTGGAAAAGCAGTCTTTGGGAAGGAATTGCATGTTCTCACATTAGGTTCCATTCAATTTAATAGTGGAGACATTGGTGTAATCCACGTATTATTTGATTTTTCCACTTTAACGGCTTAGCCATCCTCCTACTATTTAGTGTTAAACCTCTGAATGTCATGATATCCGTTACACATACTGAACATTGGAATTATGCAGTTGTTTAATCTCATTTAGATGTTTTTTAGTGCTAAGGAATGGTGCTCTCCAGTACATATGCTGCCATGCGAAGGTGGCCAATGATTCCTTAGGAACATCTAATGCTGTTGAAAATCTTTAAGGGTTAAAACTGCAAAAGAATTCTTTCGAAGGAGGAAAACAATGTTCTTCTTGAGTTTCAAAACGGTAAGCTGTTAATCTGCAATAAATCAGAATGATTTAGGAAATGTTTTCTCCAGCTCGAACAAAATTAACTTGCGGCAAGTCCTGAATTCAATATTTGAAATGAAGTTCTCGGTTGAAGAAGTCTGATAAAAATGCCTTTTGTAAATCGCACTTGTCCACATGGAGGCTACATACTTGCAATCATTTAGCTAAACCTATTTGACCCTCTATGCATTACTGCAAAACAGGCCACAGAAACTACAAATTGGCGTCTATGTACGTACGACTGTGATATCGACAAGAGTAGACATGGGAAAATTTAGCATTTTTAGAGAAATATCTTGATTTGTGTGCTTTCAATCAATACTTTTTATATCGTGATAAGATGTTTTGGAAGTATGAACGAGAGAATGTGAAGCCTTATTCATGCAAATGACTTCTGGTACTTTATGTAATTGCTTTCCTTAGGAAAGACGACAAGATTCAGCGCTCTGCTTAAACTTGAACTTATAAAACTGAGTTTACGTTAAGAGCTTGACAATTCACGATAGTGTTAGCCTGTTTGCAAGAAATTAAATAAATTCTTATACATTTTGGCATACACTGCATTCACAAAAATTCCTAGAAACAGCATTCGTTTTGGACTAGGAAGGTGACAAGAAGATTATAATGATATTAATGATATAATGTCTATATCTCCAGGTAAGCTATGCACTATGATGGTGAAGTTACGTTTGGAACCTTTTTTAAGTGAAGAAACTGTAAACATATGCTTTGAAAGCCGAATTTAAGAAAATATTGTTTACAATAATGTTAACCCTCAACTGTATGAATTCTTCCGTATATTAGG